GCACTGGACGCTTATCTTCTTTTTTTTTTTTCTTGTTTTTTGTTTTTTTTTTTTTGCGTAAGAAAAAACGGCTTATTTCCCCCAGAACAATTCCTCTAGGAAATCAATGCAATGCGCAGAAATAATCTATGACTAGTATTTACTGACTTGCTCTGTTGATTAGACAAAATATGGGGTATGGATGGAGGTACCAGATTGTCAGTTAACTACTAATGTTTAGGCCAATTAGTCGTTAATAGTTTGACATGCGCTGACCATAATAATAACCAAAAAATAATGAAATAACCGTTAACTGTTTTACTATTAATTTAGCTTATTTGTCAGTGAACTACTAATTTTTAAGTCAATTGTCAGTTGACTGTTAAACCCCAGCACACACTAAAATAGTCAATATCTTTTACATAAGAATTGGTTCTCTTTAAATTTGGGATCCGGATTCTCTCGCTTGTGCTTTGAAGGTTTTTCTCAGATTTCTCTTGTTTTTCTTCCCTTAGCAAAAATTACCTTCTAGACACTAATTCGATCGGGGGTCAACGCTTTAGCTTTGAGCGCCTAGCGCCAGACACTGAGCATTCACTGTCCTACATGGTCGAGCAGGCAATTTTTTTTATTCAACTAAAACTAAATTTAAAATAACCACACGCAATGCATGCGCTTGATCATTTATTGCTGATATATATAACCGTTATTCCTACACGAGATCTCATCATACAATATGCTCTTTAAGAAATAAGCAGAGCAAAATTGCAAGCAGCAATTTTACCGCAATCCATGCGCAATATAAGGCCCCGTCCACACGTATCCGGAAATTTTTGTATCCGCAATTTTTTTTTACGGATAGGGTTTGCGTCCAGCACGTGTCCGCAAAATTTTGTGACCGTATCCGCAAATTCTACGAAAACGGATACGTGTGGACGGTGAAAACGATTCGAATACGCTTCGTGTGGACGCAAACATTTTCGTATCCGCAAAAAAAATTTGCGGATACAAAAATTTCCGGATACGTGTGGACGGGGCCTAAGAACCATCATAGAATTGTAAAAGTAGGCATCTAATGAATCAGTCAGTGGAATGTAACATGAAATATTATCTCATTTATTGTTTTTTATGATGCACGATCCAACGAGAAAAAATATTAATGCGAAGTAAGATACGCGGGGAAAAATAAAGTACTTTTGCGTTTAAATCCCGATCTGGCTAGCGAAAAATAATAGTTATATTCCTTCAAGTAGTTTTGAATATTTATAGTCTATCTTTTGTTATTTTACTGAACACAAGGCTGTGTAGATTGACTTTACATGGTAAACATCGTACACCTTTATAATAATAAGTCAGGCTGTCATATGCTTCTCACTCTGTCTGTCTGTTTACTTTTTGATTCTCCTTTCCTTTTTATTCAGTCTTTATTTCATTCTTTTTCTTTCTATTTCTTGGTAGAATATCTTCCACTCATCGTTTGTTTTCTTATCTTATGTTACCTTTTCTCTCATTTCTTTCTTCCTTATTTCTCTTTCTTTTTTGTCCATCTATCCTTATCTGTGTGTCTATATCTGTCTGTGTGTCTATATCTGGTAGTCAGTTAGTCAGTCAGCCAGTCAATCGGTCGGTCGGGTAGTCACATACATGTAGTCGGTCAGCAAATCTTCCTCCTTTGTTTCTTCCATAGTCTTTATCTACCAGTCCCCTAAGCCACTTTGTTAATCCAGTCATATACAGCATTGATATCGGGGTCTTTGCCTTCAGTATCACCTTTACAACTGCATTCTACAAACTCTACTTTCACTGGCTCTACATGTGCAAATTCGAAATCTTTTCCCTTCCTGCCGATAAATGAATCTTTGGAGGAGCCATCTGTTCCTTGAAGGGCAGCCGAGCGAGTCACACGAAGAGTATTTCTGAAGTAAGAATTTTTGGAAAAATTAGAAAAAATTAGAAAAAAAGGAAAACTTGTAAAAGCTTGTAAGCACACATTTGCTATCCTCATGGGGAAAGAAAACAGACCTTTCAATCGTGGGCATAACGTTTTCCCATTTCATACCACACGTCATTCCCTAAAGTATCATTTTTTTGTTTAACAGTTGCACATGAGAAGACACATGAATATGGATACAACTTTGAACAAAGAATCTCATTCCCAAGAGAATGAAATGTGGTCTGAAATGAGAAAACATGACACCCAAGGTAAAGAGGTCTACAAAAACCCTTCAAGCTTAAAGGTCTCAGTGTTGTAATATGATTGATGTAGGAAATATCAAATAATTTTAACTACCCTGAATAAAATATGACTTTGTACTAGAGTGCAAACAATTAATCCGTGAAACACTAATTACTAAATAGTACAAAATAGTGCTAATTAAACAATAGAAAACAATGGAATTTGCATGAAATTGTGCTATTTAGTATTACTAAAGTTTCACGGTTATATTGTTTGCACTCTATAACCAGACCAACAAACCACTGCAAAGTACAGCAAGAGACATTTCCTTGTACTCACATTTCCTTCTCTAACTGAAGCTTGATGACCCTTGAAGACTTCGCAGTTGTCATGTCTGCAAAGCAAGAGCATGAAATCAGTGACTCAATAGACCATTTTCTCAAGGTTGCGTACGCATCCAAATTTAAGGAACTTGACGGGCCATGATACCAGAACACCAGTATTATCATGCATTGCAATGATTTTTTTTTTAATAAGAATATTTTTTAAATATTAAACTGTCTTCTCAATTTTACTGGATTTGCATTTTTCTGTTTTGTGGCCCGTTGAGTTGGTTGCACACACAACCTTGAGAAAACTGTCTATTAAAATACCAATGTTTTTGGTATGTGTTGACTATCTCAATGAGACACAGTTCCCAAACAGTACACTGCATTAGATGTACCTACAGCTTCTACCCCTGTTATTGTCTCCCTGGTGCAATGTAGGACCCAGTTTGCCGATCATTCATACAGCACAAAAGGAGAGCTAATATCTAGCCTTCTCCTGTGGAAGGCCTCTGAAGGTAGGAGATTAAAAAGGTAAAAGTAATTTGTTTTACTTCGATAGCCAGGGGCTCATGTTTAACGTGCTCTAAGGTGTGACCTCTATCCCTCTTACTATCAGTGCTCCTTTTTACGGGCATTTAAAGCTAATTAAAGCTACACAGAACAGAGAGAAGTCGAAACAGACGTGGAGTTCCTGAGGATCGAACTATGGACCTCAAGCTCTGAAGGCTGCACACTAACCAACTGAGCTACATGTACACCATAGACATCATATCCAGGGATACTGTGATGAAACTGGAAGACCTCTCTGTTACCATGGCGCCACCTGATGTGTGGCACTACATTATATGACTAACCAACTGAGCTGATCAGCTAGCCTTACCTTGTTTATTGCAAGCTACTAATATTGGAACTGCAGCCTTCGACAAGTGCTTATTGCAAAGTATGTCATACATTTGTCTATAGAAAGAAAATTCCATACAATTTTTTAATGGACAATAGTCTAAAAGAGAAACTACTGTATTTTCAAGGACTACAGAGAGGAAGGGGAAGCTCCTCTGACTTCAGGAATCAAGAGTTGCATATGAAGAGTGTACTTTTGTCTAGCTCATATCTAGGGTCTGGGGTTTGGATCCTGGACTCGCCTTCACATGTGAGTAGAGTTTGTTAGGTAAAGTACCTCCCTCAATTTGAGGATTTTTCTCAAGGTTATCCTGTTTTTTTTTTCTTTCTTTCCACAAAACCTAAAACACTAAATTCCAATGTATGGTTCCAGAAAATTTCCATACCCCACCACAGAGGAAATTTGGAAAAACGTCCCCCCACCAATCTGGAATTTCCAACTTTCTTCCATAACAGTCATTTTATTAAAAAAACTTATGCTGTAAGGATGGAACACATATTTTACTTACTCAGCCACATCCTTCAATTCTCTTGGGAAGTTGACGCTGTCAATGACAAATATTATGGCTCTGAAGACAAAAAAGAATGTTTATCAAATCAATAAAACAAATACCATATTGTATTTTATACAACAACAACAACAACCTATGTTTATTTAGCACTCTCAACTATAAGAGACAATAGTATATATATATATAATGTATAATTGTATAAGAAGAGTACAAGCTACTTAGAAATAGCGGGGCTAATCGAACTAAGTAGCTAGATCATGCGCGGGGTTTAATAAGTCAGTTATGAGAGATAGTAACAAATAAGGTTACTTATTACGTGTGATTAACATAAATATCTTTTAGAATAAGAAAATAGAGACCATGACCATCGACAAGCATTGAGAAAGCAGATGCCAAAATGATAACGTGAGTTTGTAAATTAACTTTCAAAATTTTCAAAGATGTGGGCAGTGTTTCAAGTGTGGGTGCTGGGGTACTCGGCATTGCCATTCTCTATAGAACACCAGAACATTAGCCCACTTTTACCTTGCCTGTCCTTCTTGCTTGTCCAGAAATTGGAATCTTATTCTACTATGACCAGGAATATCAATAACATCCAGAGTCTTTCCTTGCTAAAATCCAAAGAAAAAAGTTTTTGAAAATGAAAACAAAATTTTGGGATACTTTACAACTAACTGTTAACACTAAATTGGGTTCCCTGTGGCTATAGATTGGATGAATGTTGTATTTCCCACTCCTGTGTTGATCTGTCGTGAGAGTTTGTCTCATTTCAATGCATAGCAATGAAAACAGTATGGCACTAGCAAGGGTAGGGAAGGGAGAACATGCCCCACCAAAAGTTTGCTTTTGGCACCAAAATGTTATTGTTAAAAGATTTTTGACTGAAGGACTTTGAACTTTGGGCTTCCTGTGTCCAGGATGTTAAAAAAAATATTATGGGATGAGAGAGAGTGAGAGAGGTTGCTTGTGAGTCCAGTGCAACATTGTAATTCTTTGGAGTTTGAATCTTAAAATCACTGATTAGAGTCTATAAAACCAAATTGAAGAGTATTTATTTCTACAACTGTCACTAATTCATGTGGGATTCTTAGTGGATATGGCAATAAAACTGTACATGGCCCCCCATCCCCCTNCCCCCCCATAAATGTTTATATTGTAGTGTTAATTAATTACTTACATTTTTTCCTTTTAAGGTGTAAGAGCCTTTGTTTTCTTTCATTGATGTGTGGGTCATCACATATTTCTCAGTTGTTAGCTGAAGAAAAGGAAAAAAGATAGCTCATTCTCAATTCGAAACAAAACCTAAAACAATATTGGGGCTGATCAGAGCTACTTTTTCAGCTCGTATGGACGGGATACACGCGTATGGTAGGATGCCATGCGTAGGAGCAGATCCTGTGCGTGGGGTCTGTGCGCGATACACACAGTTGACCCTGAAAAACTTTTGGCCTGTACTGTAACTATGCAAAGAAAGAGTTATAAAGCATGTTGGGTTTTGTGAAGGGAAGAAAACTATATAACCTGGGCTCAGATGTACAAAGGGTGAATAGCCCTATCTGGCAGATAAATCTTATCCAGTGGATAAACTATTTATTGGATAACAGCATCAATTTCAAGTGACAATTCTGTTATAATATTCTTATTGTTTCTACTTACCCTGCTAAATAATAGTGTTTTACCAGAATCTGTCAGGCCGACAAGAAGAACGGCATTCCCCCTCCTTCCACCTTTCCTCAAGAACACCAACAGGACTAAGAGATAATGAAGATGATACTTGTTGAATTAACGTTTACACTATTTTCAAATCTATAGGGTCCCCTCTTTTTTAAGGAGTTCTATAGCCCCCCCTCTTCCCTTTAAGGAGTGCAATATGGGCCTTGTACAAGCATGTGATCCCGATAGTATATGCTTTGTAAAGGTATTATGACATGGGCAGTGGGCTTTCYTTCAAAGACACTACGTAGAAACAAGACAGACAGACACTAAAGTTACTCTCAACAATTCATTACAATATTCGAATCTAAACGCCACAGAATRTAGAAATGGCCTTCATTAATTAAATTAAAAGTCATTTACTTTAGCTAGTGACTTAAAATAAAATCGTTATGACCGAAAAGAAAAGAATTAATACATTTGCATTGTAGTGGAAGCGAAAAAGCAAGTTGCACGTGAATATTCGTAAAAAGAATATTTTTGAGGGCTGAAAATTTCAAAAATTTGAATACAATAAAAACAGATAAAAATATAAGCTTACGTGTAGTGATAAGGACTAGGAATAAACCAGTAGCGACAGCAAGAACACCGCCATTTGGACCTTCAAAGATCTCTAGTATTGAAGAGACAGCCATTTTCTCCTAATGATGAATCAGCCGGTATAAGCACAGGAAGCCCACCACAACTAAATATCAAAATCATCACAAAATATATCCAAATCATTTTTTTTTCTTTTAAATATTTTAAATTTATGATCAGTAAACATGTTTGTTGTTATATATTATTTAGAGGTAAATGTTTAATTTTTTATATTTTTTTATTTATTTTCTATGTGTAGTGGGGGTCCTGTGGCAGGAATTGGCTGGGGCAGACTGATTTGAGGGTAATAAAAACATGGCGATATTCATGTTCTTCACGAGGTCAAGCCATTTTTATTTTGCAGCCTTAAAATGATAACAACTTATTAAGAATTTCAAGCCTTTACAGGAATGGTTGCCAGTTTTTCTGGTAAAGGGATAGACTAGCTTTGACAATAACCTTAAAGAACGCTTACAGCAATTTTTTGAAGAGAGAGATGGGAGAATTCAAGTACACAACAACCGAAGCTACCAACCATGAAACTACAACTTCCTGGAGCTCGTATAAATATTTAAGAGAACGTGAAAATGGCGTTCAGTATCGAAACGATTCTGTTGTAGCTAATTATTATAAATACATGAGTTTGAAGTCCATCTGGGGGAAGAATCGTGATGGTTGTGAAGATCATGGTGCTATTTTCAATACCGAGTTTTCCCCTGATGGAAAGCTACTTCTTGCTGCCTGTGAGAGGTCGGCTTTTCTTGTGTTTGATCCGCTTAATCAAAAGCTTATTCTTACAAGGAGTGGAGCCCATAATGATGGCATAAATTGCATACGGTTCTTAGACTCGAGGTCATTTTTGACGTGTTCTGATGATAAGACCATTGCACTGTGGGATGCAAGGAATTTGAAGAGTAAAGTGTCTAGTTTTGTTGGGCACACAAGCTGGGTGAAGAGTATCGAATATTGTAGAAGCACAAAACAACTGGTGACGTCTGCCTTTGACGATACCATCCGTGTCTGGGATCTCAACCGGCCTTCTCCATCAGGATTTATCGAAGGAAGAAGTGTCTTAAAAGTTGCTCGGTTGACGAGAATGAAACTAACGCCTTGTGGAACCAAAATGATAATATCGTCCATTGCAGGGCATTTGGTTGTCATTCATAACCTAGACCTTGAACAACTTGAGGCAAGATCTGGCGATCATGGGATCCCGTTTTGGAACTTCTCCGGCACGTACCATCAGAAAGCACATTACCTACCATGTACGGATGTACCATGGTCAGCAAAGAATAAATTTGAAGTAATTGAGGAGTTTCCGGAAGACACAAAACCCTGGTGTATTTCATCTCTGGAAGTTCATCCACACGGCTGGTGTATTGTTATACGGTACACTGGAGGGGACTGGCACCAGGAATGGACGGCACTTTATGATATCCAGACAAAAGGCAAGCAATCAACTGGTTTGTAATACTGTATGCTTATTAAAGCACTTCCCAATCCAGGAGTGGATCCAGGGAGGGGCAAAGGGCAGCTGTATAGCCCACACCCCACCCCCCAACCCCTTCTTTCAGAATGCTGGTTATGTTTCTTGAAGTGCAATAAAAAGCTTATTTTTAAATATTTTTTCCAAGTTCTGTAGTGTCATTTGCAAAATTCAGTCAAGCCCCCCTCCCCCTTTTGGGTTGGATCTGCCCCTGCAATCACACTTGCAGAATCATGCAATTTGTCTTCGCTACAAGTTATCGTAGTGTGAAGGTTCTGTTCTTCTCTTGTACACGCATTTCTGTTTTATTTTCTTTACTCTCCATTAGATGAGACAGATGGTGCAGAATGTGATATATCAAGACCTCAGAGGCTCATTTATTGCATAGAGGAGCCAAATGTCGCAAGAGGTTACATAAAAGAGCCTTGCTTTAGCAATGACGGCCGTGTCATTGGGTCACCTTTTGGCAACACATCTCGCCTTTTGACATTTAGTCAAAACTGTGAAGAACTTCCTAACTGTCTAAAGAAAAAGACTTCACGGTTAATTGACTTCAAGACGCTAATAAGCCATAAACATCCAGTGCTCACTAGCAGGTTTTCACCCACACATCCAATACTTAGTAGTGGTTGTAGAGGAGGAAAGGTTGCTTTTCATTACCCTCATTTATGAGTGTGTTTGACTCCAAGAATACAATCAGGGCTCAAGATAGCGGCAGGTCATTGGACAATGTCTAAACAGAATTAGAAATTGTCCTGTCAAATCTTTGCCTTGCCGATCATTTTCAAGAGTAACGTTGACCATAGTATAGCCAAGCTAAAACTAAGTTGGCTGGACATCACGACAGATGACTGACGAGATATTATTTTAAGCCCTGAAGATAATGCACTCCAGGGAAGGGAAGTGGGACTGAGGCGGAGTTAGGGGAAAAGGAGGGCCTCTCCTTTTTCCCTTTCTTACTCCCCCTCTCCCCTTGCCTGCATTCTACCTCTCCCTAAGAGAGCCTGATACATGGCACATTGTAAATTAGTACATGGCACATTGTCCGATACCCAGCCATTATTTTGAACCCTGAGTAGAGAGAATATTGCTATTTGTTGTCTATTAATATTTGTAAATAATTTGATAAAATCTCCCTAGGGAAAGATTAATAATCCAGAGGTAACATTTAACAGCTCGCATAAAAAAAAAACAACCAACTTTGTCAGAATTAAAAAAAACAAGCTAACAAAAATATTCATTTTCCTCAAATTTAAATAACTTATGGATAAGACAGATAGAAATGCCACTTGGAAACAAGATTTTAGTACTTATGCCAAGCATTGCAGTCAGAGCTTTAATGTGTAAAACTAGATCATTTCAGGACCCTCAAGAACTAGGGTTTGATGTTACTAAAATATCTACTGAACCACAGGAAGCCCAGTTTCTTGATTTTAAATTTWAAAAATATTCTTAACATGTTAAATTTTTGGGTTTTCACTTGTAGAAATYATAATAATCATAATAAAGGCAGTATTTTCTGCTTCTACCACGTTGCATGCAACATTGCACCCCCAAAACAGCCTTTTTCATGCAACATTGCCTGCACCTTTATAGTTTCTATGCGTGAAAGCTTTTTTTGTCGTGTGTATTTGCATGAGAAAGCCTTAAAAGTAATAAAATAATCTTTGTATTTTTTATGAAAACCTCCTATTTATCCTGCCGGTTGATCTGGCTTTTCTCAAATTTTGCAAGCAAAGCCTCATTCCTTTCTTTTATACCAAATGCCCCTAAAAACACAGGGATCCCAATTTTAAAATACTTGTAAAGAATGGGTCAGCGGATGTATATAAAACAAGATGGCGGGGTTTGGAGACAACTCGCGTGTCAAGGTTTGTTCCTCAAAAATACACTCTTTTTGACCGATTTTACTGAATATTTTTACTAAATTCGTACCTTCAACTATCATTCAGGGAGTATCTATCGTAAAACCTATCATATATGGTAACGTTTCGCACTATTTTGGCAAGAAGAGAGAGACTGATGGTCACACTCATGGCTGGACTGTCTACATTAAACCATATAAAACTGAGGTACGGTAGTGTTAGAAGACTTTTCTAACGCTAGAAATGGCGAAATTATAGACTGTTTATGGGCAGGAACTTCCCCTTACATTACTTCTTCTGTAGTGGTAGTTTCAATGTGACAAGAACCAGTAAACCAGTACAGACGTTTAGGAAGTAGCCTGTGCTTTTTCTCTACAATTATAAAGAATCTTAAAAACTTTTTTTTAACTTTCATTTCAAGCATCTATTAAAGCTAATGAAATGGAGAAATGCTTTAGAGCTTTCTGTTAACTACAAGCATGTTTTATATACCAGGACATGTCCAGTTATGTCAAGAAAGTACACTTTAAACTACACGAAAGTTATGCCAATCCGTTACGAGGTAAGGGGGCATGAGATAATTCTCAGTTACAATTACTGCAGTTTTCAATAGTCTGCGAACTCAGATGTTGTTGTGAAATCGTTTTTTAACTGCTGCCAGTCAAGAATATAAAAGTTACTGACTGATTATGTTTTGACAGCACCGAAAAATCAAGTTTCAGTGTGCCAATTTTATGTACCGAGTTTGCAGAAAATCAAAAGCTGCAATAATTTATGATTGGCACCTATCCAACCAAGCAGCTTTTAGACCAGACCACTTGACTGCATGGTAGACTGGTCACATTGCCTGATCACATTGACTGGTCATATTGACTGGTCCTATTGACTGGTCCCATTGGCTAGTTACATTGACTGGACACATTGACTGGTCCCATTGACTGGTCCCATTGACTGATCACATTGACTGATCACATTGACTGGTCCCATTGACTGGTCCCATTGACTGATCACATTGACTGNCATTGACTGGTCCCATTGACTGATCACATTGACTGGACACATTGACTGGTCCCAT